ACAGGCTGTGTAAGGAAAGGCAGGAGAGATTAGCTCCACCAGGGAAGTCTTGAAATGCTTCACAGACATAACATCTTCTGACGTCCTTAAACATAAGAGGAGTTTGCCAGACAGAGAAAAGGGCATTGAGAGCAGAGCAAAGAACATGTATGTGAGGTGCCGAGCTGTAAACTGGCCCGGTATGTGTTGGAGACGGGGTGAGGGGAGGAGACCAGGCTGAGAGAGGAGGCAGGGCTGGCCGTGGAGAGCCTGGGAGTCCCTGCTAAGGAGTTTGGGCTTTATTCTGTAAGTCCAAAGAAAGCCAAAGCAGACTTTTAAGCAAATGAATGGGTCTGACCAGATCAGTTTTAGAAAGATAACAGCATGATCCCAACGAGGAAGGTGCAACTCCCCAAACAATGTCCTGGCACTCTGCCAGTGAGACCTCTGTTAGATAGTCTAGGAGCCAGGGAGCACTAAGTGTCTAGTAACCAAACTTACGTCCTCAAAAGGAATATCAAAACCAAATTCTGAGACAAGGCCATAACAGGGCCTGTCCAAGGATTCTCCAAGTAGGATAGATTAGAAAATAGGGAAGAAAGAAGAACAAAATGGTGCCCATCAGACTATCCCTGTTGTGAGCATCGTCTTACCCCTTTCTTAAGGAATATCAAGGAGCAGTTGACTTGTTAGTAAGGAAGAACCACATACATTATCACAGAAGGTCATGGCTGAGGCTGAGAAATTGTAGCAAGTCAAGGGGATAACCAAGATCTTGAAGAGTGATTTCTATAGATAGTGGCCAACACTGACTAAAAGTTTTAGGGATTCATTGGGAACTGTTGTGAGGTTAATAATTCATTGGGCAAAAGACTTAGTGCCACCCAGGAAAAGGGTGTCACTAAGAAAGACTATGACAGCTTTACTCAAATATTATCATTAATGTCAACAGAGAAATCCCTATCTTAGGGATCACAGCAACCCCATCATCATAATGTGCCAGGGAGAACTCCCTCGATGCCCAGATAAGTTATTCGAAAATACACTGAGTAGGGAAGCAATTAGATCAATTTGTGATTTCTAGGAAATTACTCTTTTAATACTCTAGGAAAGAAATTCACGAGTACTAAGTGCCAGAGGAGTTCCTACATGGTGCAAATGGTTAACGCACTTAGCTGCTAACCAAAAGGTTGGAGGTTCAGTTCAGCCAGAGGCATTTCAGAAGAAAGGCCTGGAAATCTACTTCTGAAAAATCAGCCACTGAAAATCGTATGGAGCCCAGTTCTACTCTGACACACTTAGGGGTCACCGTGAGTCAGAGGTGACCCCACAGCAACTGGGTTTTTAAGTGCCAGGAATGCAAAATAATATGAGTATCTCCCATAGTTGTAAATACTATGTCATCATCACCGGCATCATCATCACCACTTTTGCCACCAAATAGTCAGATACACCCCAAGAACATCAGGGTCTGATAAAGGTAATGTTACTTCTTATCACCAGACAATGACCGAGGCGTTAGAAAAAAACCAAACAGCCCAAAGGTTATTGTTTTCCTTCTTATGCAGATAACATGTATGCTGTGGTGATGTTGGCCCTTCTCCAGGCTTCTAGAATCAGGGACATGGGTATAATAAGATGTGCCAAAGTAACTGACCAGTGCTTTATTACAACAAACAACTCAATGGGTATTTGTTGAGTAAAAGCTCATTGTATCCCAAGCACCATGGCAACTATAGTGGGAAATGCATGACATTGTGATAGGTATACGGTAACGGATCTCTGTGAACAATGTAAAGATGATCCTGATTGGATAAGAAGGGCAGCCATTTAAGACCCTCGGATCTTTTTTTCTGTGCCCTGCTCATTACATTGTCTCTTTCTCTAATTCTTGTTGTATTTTATGGCACTTGCTTCTTTTCTTCCATCTCCTCCAGCAAACTGTAAGCTACTTGAGGGCAGAGGTCAGTCTTATCTATCTGTGACCCCAGGTGTCTTACCCAGGACCTGACAAAAGAAGCTTCTCCATAAAATACTTGATAGATGAATGAGTGGATGAATGGTGAATAACCTAAGAAAATTAAGTTATTGGGCATCTTGAAGATGCCTTAGAAGAGAAGGGCATCATTTACAAAAGGCTGGAAGAGGACTCTCACTTTATGTAGCTGCATATCAAGCCGGCCCAGCCATTTCCATCCAAGGAATAACACAGAGGTTCTCAAACCTGAATGTGCATTCGAATCATCAGGGGATGATTGCAGACCTTCTGTATCAAACCATACAGGATTGGGCCCAGGATGATTCTCATTCAGGTGGTCAGAGAACACTTTCAGTCGATAAAGGGGTAAGCGCAGGCTTCATCCCAGCCTGTTACTTACTAGCTCCAGGGCAGACTAGGGCAAGTTTCTTAATCTCTTTGTGCCTCAGTTTCCTCTGTTATAAAATGGGATGGATAACAGTATCTACCTCATAGTGTTGTTCTGAGGATGACATGAAATGAAGCATGTAAAGCGCCAGGTACAGTCCCTGGGACTAGGAACTGCTCTATAAAGTATAGCTATGATTATTATTGTGGTTCAGGTCTTTAACCACAAATAAATTACTATTTAAAGGCATTTTAAACAAAATTACAGTCTGACTCTTCAAGCTGAATAGAAGTCCCCTTGTACCTTAAAATTAACTTTTTGGGATAGTATGCCAGTTTCTCAGGAAGGCATTGGGCTGTGAAACTGAAACTTATCTATAATCATTCCTTAAAGAATGTTCCAAACCCTCCCTACATATCCAGATAGCTCTTTGACAAATTGCATTATTCCAAATCCCAGCCAGCAGACAGTTGACATTTCACATGTAAATCCCTGTTAAAAAACCAGCCATATATTAGGTTGATACACAAAAGCATGAGGATATTCATATTAGACAGTCTAATTCTGAGCACCAAAGTCCACGAACTGCAGAGGTAAAGGAAACATGGGACGAAAATGCTGGATTTGGTTTTCCAGATTAAGCTTAATAAAGGAAGTCAAGCATAATCTGCCACCATAGAAGAAAGAAATTATCGCCCTGTCTTGAGAAACTACATGCATGGGGAACCCAAAGCAAATTCGGGGAACATGACACAGACCCGGGGCTGTCATTTCCATCGGCTGTGCATCATTTTGAGTTCATATGCATCTATGCTAATTTCAGCTCTCCAGCCTATTATTTAGGCCTTCGCAGGACAGATGTGCTGTTTTACAGGGCCATAATCCACTTGGTGGGCGGGTAACCAGGAGGCCTTTGGTCTTCATCATTTACTCCAATAAGAAAACTAGACTATTGCCTTGTAAAACAGCATGTGTCCCATGCCCTGATTCCACATGGAATGCTAACCTACGGAACACCCTCTGAACTTCTAACCAAATTCATAAAATAAAAAGCAATACAGAGGCAGCTAGGAAGAAAATAAGTATTTAGATCATAATTAAAATCAACAGTAAGAATTCATCATGGTCACAGATGACCAAAACTAGCTCTAGGCTGAATGAAATTAGGCCAAGGCCGATCTGGGGGTATAGATGGTAAAAATCAGAGAGCTGGAGAGAGTCTTACAGTACGAGATTTTAGCCCACACAGATGTTCATGTGAATCAGACTTCTCATTGTAAGGCTGAGAAGGTTAGGCGCTGTATGTGAAAATTCTAATTCTAGTAAGTTTTTAAATCTCTCTCAACTCAAAGATAAATTCTGAAGACATTTATATCCCACCAATTTTTTTTTAGCCTTCCTCCAACATATAACCCTCAGTTACTACTCTGTATCCCTCATTGTGGGAGATAAAGGTTTCCAGAGAGCCCAGGAGACATATCCCAGAGCCTCTAAGTCATGAAAGCATTGACCGTTGAGAAGACAGTATTTGTGAAGCCCAGGAGTGGACTGTAATATATGCAAATGGACCATCAGCAAGGACCAGGATTGCTCCAGTCCACCACCAAGGTCTCAAAAGACCACCTGCTCCGCACTCTCACCAGCATCCTTGCCAACAGGTAGAAGGAAGTAGAACTGAGGTGAAGGGCTGTGGTTTAAGCCTCAAACAGAAGTGATTAAAAGAACATCAGTAACCTGGCATTTACTTCAGGTTCTGGGTATACTGCCTCCTGTCCATTTAGTTCTTTTCTTTCCCCCCGCCCGGCTCTGATGCATTAAGAAATGACCTTGTTATCTTAATGTGGGGTCTGTGATGAATGCTTGAAGTTTCTGAGACCCAGGGTATTTATTAGCCCGGCTTAGTCACATGATCTTGGAATATCACTTACCTGCCCTGGGCCTCCGTTTCCTCATCTACAACAGGGCCTAGATCACATGACACAGGGAATGAGTATTTGCAGAAGGTTAAGAAATGAATCTGTAAAATGAGGCTAAACCACAAGATCTCAGGTTCCTTCCATTCCCAACATTCAACAGTTATGATCGATTCCTTACAAACTCATGTCCTTGTCATTCTTATGCTCTCTGTAAGCATGTACCAATAGACTGATCTCTTTTTACTCAGTACAATCCTACTTTTCACGTTCTCATCACCTTATAGCGTAACGCCTCTATATGTTACAGCAAGGAAGCATTTTGCCATTAACTTGATCAGACAGTTATTTTTTTTTTTTTAACAATTATCAGTTGCCAGAGCGTATTACTGCTTTTTAAAGTTCTATGCAATATTCCAAAAGCTATATAAGAAAGTATTTACATTTTCCTTCCACAGTTGTTTTCTGCTTGATTTCAAGCATTAAATGAACACAGTTCCCCATGCCTTGTGTCTGATGTGTTTTTCCTCTCCATAAAAGGCTGAAGGATTTTTCCCCCCTCTTTGGGAGGAAAAAAGAAATCTTTCCTCTGCAATTTACTTTGGCTTTCTCAAAAGTTGGGGAGGAAAGTCAGTATAATTCAGGTGGAGTCTCAAATGTTCTTGTTGTACAAGTGTGTGCAGAAAGGAAGCCTATAATTTCCGCGCATTCTTTCAGGAAGTTTGTATTCTCTGTTTTCCAGGGAGCCTTTACTTTCCAAGGGAGTATGATCGACATGCCATTACTGAACCAGGCCCAGAACATTGTTACGCTTGCCACAGCCATCAAGAAAAAATGATCTGTTAAATGAAGCTCTCATCAGGTGGGCTGAACACATACAGTAGGTTTCTTCAACCATAATACTCAAGGCAACTCGTTAGTATGCCATATTGGAACCTTATTCTACTTACAGTTCATGTTAATCATGATTTTTTGTTGTTGTTGTTATCTTACTGGCCAGTTATTCCTATAAAAATGAACTTTCTCGCCTTCGGCTCCAAGCTTGTGATTTTATTGTGGTTTATTAATGTGCTGTAAATATTTATTTATGATTTCACAGGGATGGAAAAGAGTGGGGAAAGATGAACTGTGAGGGCAAGTTAGGTCTTTAATGAAATGGATCTTTCCCGAATACATATACTCCATTCACCCTTCTCATATTAGTAACTGTTTCCCACATTATCCATTTATCCGGATGACACCATAAATAATTTTAAGAAAGGCCGGGCCTTTAAAAAATAATAACTAAATGAAGGGGCCATGCCTGTTTCACTAGTAATCTGCTAAAACAACACAGATGGTATAGAAAAAATTGATTAAGTATTATATTGGCTTATAAAGATGCCTTCTAAACATAAAATCTTCAGAACTGGTTACAGTTGTCCTCCACCCCCAACTCCCCTCTCCTCCCAAAAAAAAGTTTATATACATGAACTACTAAATGATGAACACAAAGCTCTCGTCCTGGGCGACTGCTCTGGGTCAACAGTTACGAGCAATTAAAAAATATATGTGCGGAAACAGAAGATCATCCATTCTCCCCCTTTATTTCTCCATTTAACTGTTTGCCATTGAGGCCATTTCCCCCTGTAAATGGACGGCCGGGACAAGACTCCCTCAGCAATAAACTTGTAATGTCTGAGAAGACACAATGCAGACGAACTGGTGCATAGGGTCCCCTGCGAGATTTGCATCACATTAGAGATGCGGCTACAGGTCATCTGGGTGGTGTGGTTAACGGGCTTAGTAAAGCTGTTTTGAAGAGGTTAACCCAGCTTGTAGTAAGGGTAAATAAACATAACAACCAGCCATTGTTCCCTATTCAGCATGTACTCTTATATTGAGGGCTAAAGGGTACTGAAGCCGTGGAGGATCAACTTGTGCTTGCCAGAGGACGCCAATGAAGTTTGAAACACCAACAAGCAGAGATTTTGTTTCTGTTCCTCATTAAATCATGCGCTTTTGTGTTGAGGCTCTGAACGACTGTTCTTTAAGAAATTAAGAGAAAGGGAAGTTTTAAACTCTGCACCAACCTTTCCGTGACCCACACAGCAGCAATGCTGCTACATTTAGACAAACACCGTGGGGAAGGCTGTTCTGTTTATTTAAATTTGTAAATAGAAAACAGTTGTTTTTTTATTTTTATTTTTCCCCTCCTCCTATGCCCTTTTTGTTTATTTCCTGTGTGGCTCTCTGTCGGGTGCCCCAACCAGGGGCCTACTTTCCCCAACTCGTTCCAATTCCTATAGGAAGTCTGAGAGACGAGTAGAATTGAAGGTTACATAGAAAGGCCCCCTCAAACCAGAGAGTCCCATACACGGTCATGCAACACCCACCCACTCACCCCAATCCTCCAGCAAGGAGGGGAAGATCCAGTTCCATCAGGCATGCTGAAGGACCTGACCCAGGCAGGACAGTTCCAGGATAACAACTGATATCCTCAAACATGGGATCCAAGGAGACAGCTCTTAAAACTGACGGGAATGCGCTAGGCCAGGGTCCTGACCTGCCTTGGGCAGCGCCTGTCTCCTCTTCAGTGCATCCCCCTCCCACCATTCATTAGCCCACCCCTCACCGTGGCTGCCCTGTGCTGCTCTGAACTGAGCTGGGCAGGAAGAAGGTGGGAGCTAGCCCCATCTTCACTCAGAGGCCGTGAGGAGGAAGATGGCCTGTCAGTCAGCTTGGAAGGCTATTGGCCTCCAGCAGAACAGCTTCAGGACTGTGGACAGTGGCAGTGGGCAGCAGTTCCTGGAGGCGTCCGTTCCCCAGCGTCTCAGCTGCACTCCGAATCATGGAGTCCAGTGTGTACAAGGGTAATCCGGGACCACGGTGTCCATGCACAGTCAGAAACCTCTGCTCAGAACACAGAAGTCTTCACTTTGGAGGACTGCCTGGGAGTCAGAAGGCAAAAGGAAAGCTTCCTTTCCTTTTGACCCTGTCTTGCACACCCACCCATCCACCCACGCTCAGGGTGTTAGCAGCAGTTTAGGCAGGGCCTGCCTTAAGCAAAAGGAGAAACTAAAAACTTCTTTCTCCCTTCCTTACAGGCAGCCCCCGCTTCCATCTGACTACACTTCCCATCCTCCGGTGTTGATCCAGACAACCCCTCCAGGCTTTCAGAGGATAAAGGCAGACCTTCTAGCCCCTACCCTAGTTACACAGACAACCATGGAACCCAGCACAAGTGATCTGCCTCCAGCCAGGGGCCCACTGAGCGCTCAGTCCTCCCTCTGAGAGAACCCCACAGGCAGGGCTAAGGGCATCCGGACCTTGGGAAAAGCAAGCCCCTAGGAAGGGTCCCTGGGGGGTTGCTAAGAGTCTGGACCTGGCTAGGTCTCCCAGCCCCCATCACCAACAGGCCCACGAGCTCCTAGGTCCCTGACCATGTTGGACTGGTCACCATGCCCCTTTATCCTGAACTGTACTTGGTTCAAACAAGACCACCATGTTGTTTAAATCTCCCCAAATATCAGCTGTATCATTTTACTCATAACCCAGTGGTCCCAATTGGGATAGGATCAGGAGACTAGGACCCACCAGAGCCAAAAATCTGGACCAAGGTTCTGCTGTCTGAACAGAGTCCCTGACAATAGCCCCAAAAGAGAGTTTAGTCAGTGTCAGAGGCTTACATTTGTGACCCATTCGTTGAAGACTAAAACTCCAAGACAAGAAGATGGTGGGAGACAAAATCATGCCAATGACGTTTGGTGCAATTGGTGGGCAAATGTGGGCAAAGGTACCACAGGGAAGGTGGGAGGGAATGGAGGACTGGATGGGCTGAATCTGCCTTTGGCATGATGGGAATGGCTGACATGGGGCAATGAGGTCTCCCTCAGCTCCTCTGAGCTAGTAATGTACTACAAGAGGACCTTGCAGCTAATCTGATTAATTAAAAACCATACCTGTTTATACTGTGTGCAGCTCATCACCAGCAGCTTTTCCATATCACCCCCCATTATTAATTCTTAGGGGCTAAATTATGGGTAACACTATTAAAACATTATCAGAACTAATGAGAAACAATTACTTAGAAAATGAGCTGGGACAAGATTGAGTTGAGAACATCAGTGATGATCACTGTAGATTAGTTTAATAAATCATCAGGTGCAGGGCAAGGCTGACTGTATGTATGCAAAGCCCCACCATGGGAAAATGAAATTGAGATTTTTTTTTTTTTTTGCATAATTTTTTCATTAATCTCAATAGGACCCGTGTGGTGTAGATTGTTTTATTCCCCTAATACCTTGCCTGGGGGGGAGGGGGGGCGGGTGCCCAATAATGTCTTCATTGTTTTACTGAGGTCTTAATGACAATCTGTGACAACCTCATTTTAATGTATAGAGGATTATGTCAATACAATCATGTTTTATTGAAATGGTGTGGGGAACTCCAAGTCAGGCACTGTCTGTGTGCATAAGTTAGAAGTTCCTGGGTATCTGGTGCCTGCCCTTCAGATTTCCAAGTGTTTAAGCGCTGGCTGCCCTCACCTCCCAGCATCCACTGGCGCGGGGCTCGGAATGTCCTCTGGAATGAGAGACTTCACCGCCTCCGATTTGAATCTGAAAGTAACTCCGTTGCCTGGCATATTTTGCTGGGTATGTAGAACAGAATATATAGATCCCCCACCCGCTAAAATATATCTGTTGTTATTGGCATTAGCACCTTTGCACCCCTTAGTTTGTGGCGTCCAGGAAACTGACCTTTGTTATTGGGGACGTTGAATTTTGTAACGATGCCGAGAGGAGAAATTAGGAATTCACGTTCTGTTTCATGTGAAGGACATTCTGCTTCAATGGTTTTAGTTTACCTCCCCCGCCCCCCTTTAGGAGTAGAAAGGCAATTGATGATACAAAACAGGGTACCAACAAGAATGCCAGCAGGATTTTGTGCATATTAATAACAACGAGGGTCACAAAGGAGCTGTAACTCCTCCCACGCAGAGACCCCCCCCCCGGCTGGTTTTCAACATCAGAACTTAGGAGGAAAGTGAGGAAAAGTCATTCCCAGACCCCAACATTTCAGTGTTAAAGCCTTATTCTTTCTGCGCTTTATTTTAAATGGGGGAGAGGAAGGGGTTAAGAGAGCGAACATAATGGAAAATAAATGACTTTCAAATACAGTAAGTTAGTGCCAGAAAGCTTGAGTGGTGGGACTGGGCTGCTTTTTTGCTGTCCTGTGACGGGTGATTTTTGTTGTTGTTAGTTTAAATTCCAGTCGTTATTTGGCAGCATATTTGCTCCGAAGTCAATATTGCCAACGACATAAAGTGATCTGTCGGAAGGAACCGAAATCACCGCTAGCGCCTTTCGGTCGTTGTGTGCTGCCGATCGAACCCAGTTTCAGATAAGCGGTCTGAAGCCTGCGGATGTTTGTTTACAAAGTCTTTTGGGACTTGTTTGTCGCTCGCCCCTTCCTGCTTTTCTTTTGAAATGATGAGTGACCGACTGGCTTTTACCGTTAGCCCCTTCCGA